CGATTTAATGAATGACAAGATTCGAATTACTTGATACGATTCATATCAATATAAACTAATTAAAACTCCAATTTTAACTTTCCAATTTAAGGGGTATCGGTACTATAAGCACAGTACCGATACCACTACTCTAGGGTATCGATACCCTTCCTAGGTATCGATACCAAAATTAGGTTCGATGTTCCCCTGGTATCGATACACTCCACATAGGTATCGATACCTCTTCCATATGGTATCGATATTGTTCATACAGGTATCGATACCCCATTCATCAATTTCTTATAATTGGCCTTGTAGTATCGGTACCCACTTAACAGGTACCGATACCTCTTACCCAGAAAATGCTTCTTAACTTGAAAATTTCCAACACTTTACTTAATTCTTCTTATATAGCCTCCTTTTAGCCCTTTAAACTTAACTACACTTATTCTAGCTCACTTATAACACGTTAACTCGTCTTAATATCCAATATTCTATCTTAAATTTGGAAGATAAGAATCTTACCAATTTATAAACATGTTCTAAATTCGTTTCTAACACTTTGAATTTCTTATTCACACCTATGACAAGTCAAATTCAGCTTCTGATTCCATTAACTCCTTCTTTTTCAATAATTCAATCAAAAACTCATTTTAATTAAACTCTCATAACTTATCCACTTTTGAGTTTTTACTTCTCTTAAAGCTTCCTTAAGCTTTCTTAATACCCAAAGAGTCAAAACCAACTTAAAAGTTCAAAGAACAAACAACTTGAAATTAACTTTTCCCTTTTCTTACCCAACTCCACGTGTTTATATCACTTAAAGAGGGAAGATAAAATATTTCCTTTGAAAAAACCATAATACCCTTCCATCTTTCCTTCTTTTCCAATCAGTCCTAACCAAATAAATTACGATTAAATCCTTGAACTTTTTACTTATTTCAAAATTAAGCACCAAATTTCCAAAATTTACATTTTAGTCACTGACCCAGTTATTGGGATGTTACAGTTAAGACTAAATTATGACTATGAATAATTAAGAGGGCATTTTGGTCTTTTATGTGAAAGAGAATTTAAAGGTATTTTAAATTGGTATTAAAGATAGGGGAAAAGGGAATTAGGTTGTAAAAAGCTCTCTTTCTTCTTCTTCTTTCCCCCGTAGAAGAGTTCCCCCATAAGCTCAAAGGTAAGTTTTCAATTTCATGGTTTACTACTTCAATTTTTGCTAGTTATTGAATCCTTGTATATAATGGAAGCTTAATGAAGGTTTAGATAGGATTAAAACAAAGAGATAAGGGAAATAAAAGAGATTTGAGAAAATGAGTTTTATAACGATATGTTAATATATGAAGGTTTATTAATGTTTGTTGGTAAAATTGACTTATCAATAAGGTAAATGAAATATTAGAAGCATTGGTTGAGTGAAATAACAAGTTAGAAATTGTGTTGCGATTCTTAGAATCAAATGCTCTTGAGGAATATTAGATGTTTTAAGTGTATAAATGATGGAAAGTTAGTAGGGTTAAGTAGAGAGGTGATATATAGTTTTGTTAGAGGCAAATGAGAGGAAAATTGACCAAAGTTGGGTAAATTTCGGGTTGAACACAAGAAAATCTGGGCAGGGGCCGATACCATAGGAAAAAATTAGGATGAATTATATGAGAAATATAGATACTAATTCAATCAATACCTGTACCGAGCGATGTAGTATCGATACCATGGTGAGGGTATCGATACCTAGAAACATCAAACCTAATTTTGGTATCGATACCGAAGGGGGTATCGGGACCATAGCATAGTAGTATCGATACTATGGTGAGGGTATCGATACCAGGCTACATCGAAGCTAATTTTGGTATCAATACTAGAAGAGGGTATCGATACCATAGCAGGGTAGCATTGACACCATAGCAGGGGTATCGATACTGAAGGGCCAGAAATTTTAAGTTGGGCTGATATTGTTGTAGAAAGTTAATAAGAAATATTTTGATTAATATAAGTTATAATTGTTAGGAAACACACTAACAATTGATATTATGCATGTATTTAATGAATGTGGAATAGCTCGAAATCAAACTCCTGAGTCGAGTAAGATGAAAGGCAAGGGCCAAGTTCCGGAGTAATTATCTTCTCATTCTGGATATCTAAGCAAGGTGAGCTAGGCGAGTACATTTTATTGTACGCAATCTAGATGAAAATGATTAGCAATTGTTTAAGATGAATTGTGTAATTGTTAATGTATATTTTACTGAAATTATTATGTTTTATTGAATATATAGAAATGATATTGTGTATGAGATTGAGTATGAAAATACTAATGCATATAGGTGCATTATTGGCATGGAAGGATGCCATAGTTGAAATGTATATGGGTACATTATCAACAGAAAAACATACTAGGGTTGAAATGTATATGGTACATTATCAACAGAAAAGTATGCTAGAGTTGAAATGCATATGGGTGCATTATCAACAGAAATGTATGCTAGAGTTAAAATGCATATGTGTGCATTATCAACAAAAGAGCATGCTAGAGTTGAAATGTATATGAATACATTATCAACATAAAAATATACTATGGTTGAAATGTATATGGGTACATTGTCAACATAAAAGTATACTATAGTTGAAGTGCATATGAGTGCATTATCAACAGAAAAGATGTTATGTTTAAAGTGCATAATGATGTATTATAAACCTAAATGGAGGTTAAGAATGAAAGGAAAGAATCATGACAAATGATTATGATAAATGAAGAATAAAGTATGTATGAATACTCAAAGGTTATTTATTATTTTACGACTCACTAAGATATACTTAACGTGTGTATTTTCACACGTAGGTAGCAGCAAAATTAATCAAGAGTGAAGCCGTAGCAACAGATATCATTCACCAAGGTTGACTCACCAGTAAAAATAGGACGGTAGTAATCCTTTTGTAAACTTGTTGGCATGTAATTAAGTTTAACATAACATTTTGTAAGGTGTTTTGATGAATACTTATTTATTATGTTTATTTATGTGAAAAGTAAGTTTGCAACAAAGTTTTTAAAGAATTTACAAAAACAGTAAAATGTTTTTTTAAGTAATGTGACACTTGTATACATATACAAAACGCATATACGTATATGGGTGTTACTAGACATGCACAAAGTCGGATTTAAATCCGATCCGGATCGGATAAAAACCGATCCAGTTTTTTCACCTAGCCAAAAAATCGGATTTTAAAAAAACCGGTTCGGATCCTAACCGTTTTGGAGGGCCGGATGGTGTAACCGGTTTCAGTTTTCAAAAAACCGGTTTTTAATCCAGTAAAAAAACCGGTCGTCCAATTTTTTCCCAAACCGGTTATATTAACGGCTAGTTTTTTAAACCCCAGACTAGATTTTTTTCGGATAAAAAATCGGTTTTTAATTCGGTAAAAAACCGGTCGTCCAATTTTTTCTCAAACCAGTTATACTATCCGGTTTTAAAATATCCGATCCGATTTAAAAAAAATCCATTTTCCTCAAATCCGATTTCAGATATTTTTTGCGCAAAATCGGATATTCGAATTTTTTGTGCACCTCTAGGTGTTACAGAAACAACCACTGGTGGGGGGTCATATAAACCCCAAAAGCCATCGAAGCAAAACACGAAAAAAACCAAGGGAAAACAAAGCAACATATACTCGGAAATCAATATAAAAACATAAAAAACATCACAACAAAAAACAAAGCAACCAACAAACCACAAAAAAAATCATAAAAACCAAAAATAACTTTCGGTTTTGACTCGAGAGGGGGTAATCGTCGAAAAAACAAAGAGATTTCATCAAATAAAAGGTAAAAATAACATCTTTTCTTTTATATCTACGTCGATGGAGCGGTTTTTAGGGTGTTTGAGTTTAGGTTTCGAGTTCACGAGGACAAGGAGAATTTTTTCCGGGTAAGTTTGAATATTTTGGCCACCGGAGCGATGGTCGGCGGTAGTTCGAGGCGGCAGACCCTTATCGGCGGGTGGTCGACTATAGGTCGACTAGGAGAGTGTTGGGAGAATTTGAGGAGAGGGAGAGAGTTTGATTTTGAGGAAAAATGTAAAATGAATGAAATAGGTGATTTTAGGGGTATTTATAGGAAGGACTAGAAGCAATTAGAAGATTTTTAAATTATTTTCGCAGTCTCTGCAATTTTGATGCGTAATTCATTTTGGTCACTTATTATAAATTTACCCCTTGAATTTTGAATTAATTCAATTTAATCCATATTTATATTTCTTATATTTTGCAAATTGACCCCCTAACTTTTTATTTTTTCTTACAGATTTCAATTAACATCAATTTGACCCTTAATTTTTAATTCTTTTCAATTTAATCCTTATTCAATATTTTTTTTAAATTTATTACTTATTTTATTTTATTGTTTAACATTAATTCAATTTTTAGGGTAATTTTAAATCGATCAAAGGTGAGTAAGTCAGATCAAAAATTTAAATTTAACTTTTAACTTTTAATTTTCGCTATTAAGACAACATGGAAATCAAATTGGTACCGAAAGGGCGTTACAAGGAGCTAATCATTTCTTGACTGTAATTGACTCCCGAATCAAATTAATTTATGGTAAACCACATATCAGATAAATGGTAAGTAAAGGTGTATGATCAACCTAATTTAAAATGATCGGTGGTGGCTCCAACACATTAATTTAATTTGGAACCCGATTCCGGGACCACTCGAAGGACGGTTACAACACTTATCTTTAAATTATTTTAGGTTTATGGAAAATATTGTAATTAATATTTTATCTAAAATTAAAGGGTTAAATTGAACTAGTTTATTAACGTGGTACGTCAACAAACTAAGTACATTCAACATTCTAGTGATCAAAATTAAAACTTCGATAAAGTAAGTAACCAAATATTAATGTTTTTAAAATTGGTGAGAAAAAGTATACAAAGCTGAAAGGTCAGTGACCGTTTAATAGTTTAACGAAATAAAAAGGAAATCCTTGGTAACGTAAAGCCAGATAAGCCATTATCAGAAGGAAGAGAAACTCACTACTGTGCCTATTTCTCGATCACTCGTTCAAAAATGGTCCAATTCCGGCTCGAAAATTGAAGTTTCGCTTCCGATTTCGAAGCTCCTAATTAGTGTTCTTCGTTTCTCAAAGGTCAGTTCATTTTCTTCTTCGATTCCCTATCATCGCATTCTTTTCGCTCTGTTTCAGGTCTTGCAATCTACTGCTCTGCTCCGTTTACTCCCATAACCTTCCTCCATAATTCCTTTGGAGAAACTGAAGAATGTATTTAAAAGAACATTTTATTTGAGTTTTAATCTATAAGAGATATAATTTAAGCCGATTTATGTTTTGATGGATTGTTTTTTTTTCATTTTTTTATTATCAACATAAAATTTATAATCAATTAGATCTTTTACAATGTTCGTTTCTGGGTTGCAGGTCTGAGGTGTTTAGTTTTTTACTTCGTGGTGAAAAAAGGTTGAGAGAAAGCTATGATACTAAAATTGAGCATCATCTAATAAGAATGCCGGGCATTCCTTTAGCGACTCGTGAAGCCTCCGCGTATGTTCTCTGAGATTAAACGCATGTTTTGAGGTTTTTATTTCCTTTTTTAATTCATCGTGCCAATATGTTATGCATGGTTTTCGAGTTTGGCTATATTTGCGACCATTTCATGCTAACCTTTTCTTTGCTATGTGATCATGCAAACATTGTTTTCTTTTTCCCAAGGTCACTGTGAGAGTATCTTGTTCCGAGTCCCACGTTTGATTATTGTTGATTTATAATAGAGCTTTCTTTTGTTGATATGTTGTAATGAGGTGTGATTTTGGAGGATGTCTATTTGGATAAGTTCATGAAGAGGGGCTCTTGTTTGCTTTATCTTTCCTCGAGCTATTTAATAAGCACAGATCAAATGTGCCGAGACGATTCCCACCTACATTTATCTGCTGAAGAGGAAATTGCTGCTGAAGAGAGTCTATCAGTTTATTGCAAGCCTGTAGAACTGTATAACATTCTCCAAAGACGCTCTGTAAGAAATGTAATACTGCTACTTGTTGCATTAGACTACATCTTTTTATGTAGATCGATTGTTGCGTCTTATGTGGCAGTACTAACAGTTAGTACATGCTGCTTTGAACCATATTTCTTCTATTTCTTTGAAAGAGATTTTTCCTTTAATCTTTAACATGAATATTTTTGGATTTTAATGTACTTATTATTTCATTATTTGTGTCATCTTTGAATGATTTTTATTTAATTTGCAGCCATCATTTCTTCAAAGATGTTTGCGTTACAAAATTCAGGAAAAACACAAAAGGAGGTAATGTTTCAATCTGGTAATTGGATGTAATATTTGTTCCTAAAAGTTGTGCTTACTTGGAAGTGCTTATTGGCACTTCCCATTTCTTTCCCATTATACTGGAATGACTGGAAAACTTAAAGGACAGTTAGGTCTCAAAGATAAATATCTGATGACTTTTATGATAGATAAATTTGTTGTATATATTCTTATGCTTGACAATGCATAGGCCTGTAGGAATTTGCATCAGTTAGGGAGCAATAACAGGGTCCCTTACTATAGGATTAATTCTTATCTTTTTGTGTGATTGGGAAACGATTTATTAATTAAAGTTTGATTTAGATCTGTTTTTGGTTATTTTTTTTCTAATGACTGTGTGCTGTATTGTTTGCCTTGATCAAAATTTGCTAAATATAGGTAAATTTGAGTTATTAACTGCATTGTATTTGGTTAATATGTAGAATACAAATGACAGTGTCTGTATCTGGGATTGTCAATGAAGGTGTACCAACACAAAGCATTTTTCCTTTATACGTCTTGTTGGCAAGGCTTGTTTCTGATGTTGAAATTGCAGAGGTAGGGTGTGTCATGTGTGTACTTCAAAGCTAAATCCAGTAGTCTATCTATGCATATTCTCTTCTCAGTACTGTTGAACTCTGTTTTTATACTTCATTTATGATATATTTACTTTTTGAATCCCACAATGAAGTATTCTGCAGTTTATCGTTTTCGCCGGGCATGTATCTTGACTAGCTTCACTGGCATCGATGGCAGTAATCAAGCCCAAGTAAATTTTATTCTCCCTGAGAAAAATAAGCTATCTATGGAAGCGAAATCTGGCTCACTTTCCATTTTGCTTGTAAATTTTGGTATGTATTTGATAGATCCCTTACCTGTAGGTGCATTGATTAGATCCTCTATGTTAGCGTAATTTAGTATGAATGGTAGATATCGAAGGTGACTTTTTTTTTAATTCACATTCAACTTACTCTGACAGCAAATGGAGGATGCTGCTTATGGGGCAGGATATCATTAGAACCACTATACGTTTCATGGGAACAATCACCAAACTTGAGTTTGGGGCAAAGATCTGAGACGATTTTACCTGTTGACATGCATTCTTGCTTATTAAAGGTATGCCGTCAGAGCTTTCTAGTCATAATTTCTTCTTCTTCTTTTAAGTTCGGGAGTACTGTTCTACCAATTATGTAGTTCTATTCTAGTCATTATCAAAGAAAAATGTAAGATTCAGGGAAAACTTTATTCATTGTTTTTGTATCTATGGTTGAGTCATAAAATATCAATTCTAGAACAGTGCTCAGATTTATACATTCTTCTCAAATAGAAAATAATATTATTAAGGAATGACTGTGCAGTCATTGATCTCTGATTCTTGCCTCGGTATTTTTATTGGGTATATGCTTGTAACAGTATTCAACCATGCCATTCTGAGCTTGAAATTCATCCTAAACTCAGCTTGAGTTGAAGGTATATCTTGAACTCCACCCGTTCATCTATGAGTGCTTCAATGAAAATTTTGGCTGCAGTTGAAAAGTTGGTAGAAACCGAAAAATATTTGTACAACTGTATCAAAGGGCTATAGTGGCTGACGTAAATGGCATGCTAGTAGTATAGGGCACTATGTATTTGGGATGTTGATGCTGTTCCTATACCATTTGTTGATACAATCAGGTCTCCCTGTGCTTATGGGTTTTCTTTTATAAGTGGCAAAATGAAGAACTGATCTGGTCAGGGCACTTTTATCTTTTGTAGCTGACTGCTTTTGAATGATAATTTAGCCATGGTACAGCTTTCTTTAGATGGCTGACTATAACCAGTATAGAAAACTGTAATGTATGTTCAAGCACTGATGATTGAAACTTACATAAATATCTGAACTGTGGATAGTCCCATGGCTGTCTATAGTCAGTATAGAAAATTGCAGTGTAATGTTCAAGCACTGATGATTGACACTTAAAATATCTGAATTGTGGATACTCCCCCCCTCCCCGTTTCCCGCTGCAGTTGAAATGTTTGAACGAGGACAAATGCATCTTAATCCAGAGTTCCAGCAATTCTTTGTCAACGGTATGTCCCTTATTATTTATTATTATAAACAGACATTTCTGATTTATCTTCTAGAAATGTTTTACTTATGGCATTTAGTATTACTTCTTGTGCTCCAAAAGAAAAAATCACTGCAGCTGCAGGTCATCATTTTTGCTAAGGAGGTTGGGATAAAGGAAAATTCTCCCTATAATTCAGACACATGCAGTGGCATTTCTTCTTCATCGCCCTCTCATATTATTCGGTAATCCTCGTTATGATAACTATTAAATGTTAATTTGCTCTCTTTAAAACCTATTTCTTTTCTATGTCCTGGAAATTTGACATTACCCAAATTTTCCTGTTATCAAGTGTATGGAAATAACTTGTACATTCATTGACTTGCTCCAGAATGTTCTAAATGAGCCGCACATTCACATGAGGTTCTTTGGACCAAACTTTGTGCTCCAAACCTAGACTCCCCCCCGGCGCGGGAAAAGAAAAAAAGAACTATACAATTAAAAGAAACAAGTATTGTTGGTGGCTGTTTTTGGTGTTTTGTTCATATTGGGGGTGGCTCCCTGGTTGTATCGTGTTCTTTCTATGGTTAATAAAATCTTAAGGCACTCTTTTCCTCCTTCCGCTGATTAAGGAGCTTCTCTATAAGCTCCTTTAATCATGAAGGAGGTTTTTAACGAGGCCTGCAATTCCTATCAAAAAAAAAAACAAGTATTTGCTTGATGTGATTTAACCTTCTATGTCTCTCTCTAAGGCTAACATTTTGCTGCTTTTGGTTTTAGGTTGAGAGCAGGAAACGCCATCTTTAATTACAGATATTATAACAATAAGTTACAAAAGACTGAAGGTATTATATCATAGGGATTTACATCCTTTTTTCTGGGGGTTTGGGTTGAATCTTATACACGTTCTGGTTTTCTTGAGTTTGCATCCTTTTCATTAGCTGCCTCAAGCTAAGCATATTATTTTCTTGAAAGTTTACAGTTCTCTCCTGGTCCTTGTTTGTTAGACAAGACACTTTAACTAGTTGATCTTTAGCATTTGGTTTGGAATTCTTATATGATTTGTGCATTGTACTTAACTTATTGATTTAATGTATACATCCCATTTATTTGCAGTAACTGAAGACTTCTCTTGCCCTTTCTGTTTGGTAAAATGTGCTAGCTTTAAGGTTGTTCCCCTTGCTTCTATTTTTCCTACTCTATCTTCTTGATTCAAATGAACTTGTATCCATAATACTTGGACATTTATGATTAATGCTTAATTTTTTTTATATAGGGTCTGAGGCATCACTTGCCAGCATTCCATGATATCTTCAATTTTGAATTTTGGGTTCGTATACTTTAGGATCCATGGTGGTATTCTGATAATTGATGTCTGCATAGGAAAATTTCTCATACATAGTTATTTTGTAGGTAACTGAAGAGTATCAAGCTGTTAATGTGTCAGTCAAAACCGATATTTGGAGATCTGAGGTCAGAGTATTTTCTTGGCAAAACTTACAATGTTGTTTTTTACACTGATGTTTTTTTTCTTCTTGGTTAATTGAACTGATTTGAACCAACATTAATGTATCAGGTCTTTCCCTTTTCTAAGAATTGTATCTTACAAATCCATAGGGAAAAGGTTACTTTAATACTTCAAACTTGAAGTTTTATTTTGCCAAGTGATTAAGGTGAAATTTGCTGGTAGTATGACTCAATATTGAATTTTCCACTGTAATTTCCTTTAGTTATATGGTGAATAAAGGTGTTAACTTCATCTTCGGATGGGAGGATCGGAACCATGTAAAATGCCTACTTTCCATACATATTGTTCATTGCTGCTGTTGTAATTTACATGTGTATGTTTTCTGTTCAGATTCTTACAGATGGTGTTGATCCTAAACAACAGGCCTTTTTCTATTGGCAAGTTTTTTAGTTTTCCATTTATGTTCTACTGAGTTTCTCGTCTTATTTCCATATATTGACGTTGGGAGCTCGTATGTGTACCCAGTTCAAAGCAATTAAGGCATAGACATCCGAAAGTCCTAGTTCAAAATACAAGGCATGTACATCCTGTTTTCGTAGAGTCAAATCTGCCAGCAGAAGGTTGTGAGCTTCTCCAAAAGGCTCATGGTATGACATATTTATCTATGATAATTTACTTTTAGTTTTTTTATGTAAAAATTATTCTTTGGCAAAGAAAAAAATGTATATATATTCTCTAGAAATGGAAGATTGTCTGGGCACTCTTAGACGAGGAAAAGAGAAGCTAAGGTTATGGGATTAAAAATGAAACAGGATAAGCCCAGCTTTGGCTAGTAATAAGTCCCTTCCTAGCAATCCCTCTAAATAGGTTGAGCCAAGGGGTTCAATACTGGTTTCTGGTATCTCCATTCATCTTTTCCCAAATATTATAGCTAAAAGCTTTTAGGCTGCATGTTCTGGGGACAACAATTTAATGCATGTAAAATAGAATTCTATGGTGCTAGACTCAAGTTCTTGGAAAAGCATAGATCATATGGCCAAAATGTTCATGATTCTATTGTTATCAACTGACCTTTCATAGCCTGTGTGCGCAAGTCTAATCTGAAACTCTGTAGGTCAAACTGATCAGATGTAGGAATCATGTTTTTCACTTTAGCTTTTGGAATACTGATAAAAGGGCTCTTGTCTTAGGTGGGAGCATTTTACAAAATGGTAGAATGGGTGCTCTGGAGTATGCACAACATCTTCCATCCAATGTTGCAGGGGTTTCAGGCACTGCAGGACAATCATATTTTGATTCTGAACATGTTCAATCAGTGTCTGGAAATAATCTTGCTTCCCCTACCTTGTTGCAATTTGCAAAGACAAGAAAAATATCGATGGAAGTTTCTGGTTCTAGGAAGTATGTCTTGGATATTTTTATATATTTATTCAGCGTGTTCTAATTCATTCCAGAATTGTGCAGTTGTAAAATGCATTGCTTATTTTTCATTAGAGCATTGTTCATGTCACTTGTTCTGGGAATTGAAAAGCATTGCCTAGTCAATTTGTTGCACTTTTCTTTATTAGGTATTTTTGGTGTAATGGTAATAGCTACTGTTGAATGATTGTTTTTCTAGACAATGTTGGTAAGAACTGTTACGAGTGAAAGGTACATTATCGACTTTCCTATGTGTCAAGTGGCCACTGCCGTTCCCGATTCATGCATAAAATGTTCTAAATCGTATGTCCATCTCAACCAACTAGTTAAAAGATGGAAGTGTATTTATATAAAATTGATGTGCTCATTTGGACTGGCCCTGTTAAGATAATTTGCTTCCTTCTCAACTTTGCCCCTTTTACCCTTATGACAAAGAGTTTATTGTTGAGTCATGAATATGGATTTGATTTTGACTTTCTGTCTTTCCAGCGATCCTCTCCGGAAGCGACAGTTTTTTCACTCACATAGAGCTCAGGTAAATGAAAACTTTGTAATTTGTGGTTGTCATTTGGTTCTAGGAATTGTAATTGTATCCATAATTTGTAGTGTGAGAAGAGGAAAGAAAGAGGAAAAATAATAAAAAATGTCTGCTGTTACTTACAGTTATCAAACACACGTCTGCTGTTACATACAGTTATCAAACACGAGCACATTAGCGACTGTTAAGACAGTGGATCTTATTGTGGCTTAGCTAGCATATGAAATGGACTGACTTTCCCCTTGAATATGTTTCGTGCTACAGATTAAGATGCCTTTGTATTAGTTTTTGTCAAGAGATACTGAAAATCTGTAGTCAATTATATTACTGATGTCACTTACAATTTTTACATTTTTGTTTGAAGCCAATGGAGTCAGATGAAGTGATGCGTGACAGTGACAGTGAGGATGAGGTTGATGACGAAGTTGCAGATTTGGAAGATCGAAGGGTATGTTTAGTTTATTTGCTTGTTCTTTCATAGTCTTGCAACTTTGATCCTTTTTGGAAGGACTTTGTTGGATTTTGGTCTGTGGCAAGCTCAGAATTGAACAGTGATATGATTTTAAAAAATTTAGGAGTATTTACACAAACTTATAGCAAATTCAGAAGTATAAGAACCATTTTTGTATTAGTAGATTTGTTTCCAAGGGACACAGTTAAGAAAAGATATGTGTTGATTATAATCTCATTAAAATGCTCTTTGGGGATGAAAATTGAATTTCTTGATCCATTTATGGACAAGCTGTGAATTGGAATTGGCGAATGAATGACTTTTAATAAGATGGGATTCAGTAATTTCATTACAAAAATGAAATCGTGACTCTCCGAGTGTTTGCATGCCTGGGTTGGTAGTTAGGGTGCTTGAATGAATTGCATCTTTTTCAACCTGTTTTACATTTACAAGATTGCACTAAGAGTCTCTAGCATGGTGCAGATGCTTGATGATTTCGTTGATGTAACCAAAGACGAGAAGCATATAATGCATTTGTGGAACTCGTTTGTGAGGAAACAAAGGTAATCTTGTCTTTCAGTTTTTGGGTTTTTGATTTTCTCTATTTCTTTTACCTTTCATCCTTTCAATTTTCCAAGTACATGTACAAATACTTGGCGCCCCAAGATATTTGGTCCTGACTGTATGTTTCTAATATTTCATTTCCGTGATGGCAGGTTGCTGGCAGATGGTCATATTCCGTGGGCGTGTGAAGCATTTTCAAAATTACATGGGCGTGATCTTGTCAAAGCCCCAGCTCTCATCTGGTACATCGTCTCTCTTTCATTTCTCCATCTACTGTAATTTTTTTCTCTTCTTTCTGTATGCATGTATGATTGTCTGTTTATAGGCAAAAAACATTAGAAATGCTCCTGAATAAGTGTTGAATCGGCAGGTGTTGGAGATTATTCATGATCAAGCTGTGGAATCATGGTCTCCTCGACGCCGCAACCATGAATAAGTGTAATACCGTTCTACGGCATTACGATAGCAATGATTCCGATCCTCTGATCCGGTGAAAAGTTAAAAGAGACCTGATTTTTCCTTTTTCTTTAAACAATCATGATGCAGAAATGGTGCTCAGCAGTCACCCCACCCTCGACAATTTGCATAACGGTGAGTGAACTCTTTAATGCCATGCCATTAAGCAAACTAACTGCAACTGTAAATTTGTGCAATAAGACGGTATAATTCATATATATCTTTATTATAACTTTTTTTTCTTCATAAAAAATAGTTTGAATTACTTATTTGATATTTACAGTTTTTTGATATTAAGGTCTCATTTGGTTCTAGGAAACAAATTTAATTTTCGTGTTCACTATTTTCAATACAAATATTATCTAATATTAAAAAGTGAAAAACAATTGATTTCAATTTATTGGACCAATAACAATTGATCTTAACCTTTTGACAATAAACACTTAAATACCATGTAATTATTGGTGCATGAACTTGAAACTTTTAGAAATAACAATCATTCTTTTAACTACTGAATTCGTTTAATTTGTCCCGTGCAATCATAAATATTTTTCAATAAGTTTTTGTAATACCCTAATTGTGCTAGAGTAATTTGACCCGAATATGAAACAATTATTTGTGGGGTTGGATGATTCAATTTTGTTGATGAATCGACATTTAAGAAGTTTTGATTTTCAAATCAAGCATAGACATAGGAGAATAATTGAAATTTATTTAGTTGTGGGTTGATTGCTAGGCTTCAAATTGTTTTAATTTGGTAGTTAGTGTCAAAATCTCAAAAGCTCAATTCTTTTGTACAAACAGAAAGACAAGAAATAAAGGGAAAGAAAGAACAAAATTCAAATCAAATGTCAATAGTTCAGTTTTCGTTTACAAAACCAACAACCCAAATTAAATTGTCCATTTATAATTAAAATAACTTAACTATTACATAAAAATCTAAAAAGTCCAGCTCATTATATTTTATAAATACTAAATTTTCATTTACAACCCAATTACAAATTCAGTTGTCCCTATACAAACATCCCAAATAATTAAGGCCCAACAAGGGGAAACCTGCATATAATGAAAGGAGTTTAGGGTTTAATAAACCCTCTTGTACCGTCTTCCAACACCCCCTCATCTATCAAGCAATGGTCCTCGACCCAGGTTAAAAATTAACAACAGACTTTATTATATGAAGATTTTATAATAATCTAAGAACTGTAATTATCATATAAAAATATATGAACATACAAGACTGATTTATTAAAGTCATTTTTTTATCATATAACTGATAATTCATCATTCCTCACATGTAAGGCATATAGTGCCCAAAACCAAAGTACTCTAGTAATTATTTTTGCTTTCATTCGAATCACATCATTTTTACTTTTCACTTCTATCCAATTTGTATCACTTGTATTTTTCACTCGTAGCCCAATGTACACTAATAAGAATGCATAAGGTGCGAGTAAGGTGCGAGTAAGGTGCGATTCCGTGTGAAGTATTCCCATGTTGCACATTTTAGTGCCATACGTAGAATACAATGTTGCTGTAAATAACAAGGGATACATCGCACCATGTACTATGTTGTGCAGGCACTATATACTGTGTTGTGCCACATAATGTATCTTGAAAATACTTTTGTACCATACATTATGTTGTGCGGGCACTATGTACTGTGTTGTGTCATATAAGATATACAACTACTGTAGAACACATCATCACTATATCAATAATATTGGATACATTGCACCATGTACTATGTAATGATAGTACCATGAAGTATTCATAGATACTCATATATCAATTATTATATAACAATGCATTGGGGATTCATACACAAAATATTTAAAATAGCATATAACCTAAAAATAACATAAAATGCATGATTTATCACAATTTTCTATTCTGACAGTTTATGCTACCCGTAAATAATTAATATTATGTATTAAACTATACACTTAAAATTTATTCTGTTTATACCATTAGAAACTAGACTCGAATAAAAATCTAACCATATGAATTACTCTTTATAGTTCAACTTATACAATTTATGATGAATTTTCTAATCCAACTTACAAAATCTATTTTGAGCTAAATTAGCTATCCATTTTTTGACCTATTATCAGTAAAAAAATCATATCTTCTAGTACCCAATTCGAAATCAATATTCATTTGTTTTACACAAAACTATTCTGACATATAAATCCAGTGGTGTAAGAATCACTTTCTAATAATTTCTATAGAATTTTTCGAAGCTACTATCAAGATCATAGAATTTAGATAGATTTCATTATTTTGTATCGTTAATTTATTCACTAATTCTATTCACTTCTAAATTCAAAATGAACATATATGCATGAATCAAAAAATCAAATAACATTAAAGAATCATTTCTTACCATAGTAATTTCATCACTGACTCATCGCATGCCAATGTTTCCACATAAATATCAACTAAATATGCACTCACTAGTAAACCTTTACTATAGATATACGTTACTCTTGTACTTTCTCCTTCGCTTTTAGTTTAGTCATATCTTGATTTCAATCATGATCTACACAAGTATCATTTATCGAACATATACTATTTAAATCACATCTTTGTATAATTCTAACATAAATGTATATTAGCAATAGATTCCCAAAATTTCTTTCGTTACTAATTCAATACTAATTTCACTTCATATCGAGATTGACGTTTACTCTCCAAAATGAGCTGTTCAAGTCCTTTATTATTCATATTCATTACAATTTTTTCATGACATTTTCAAGCCCAACTTTCATACATTTTATGTTTTGATACCCAAACTTTAACAATTTAAAAAAATGTCCACATCAATCCTCTAACATCAAAATTAACATTCTAACAATTAATTTCAACATAGTACATCAATTTTAAAACAATTTTATTTTAATCCTTCAATTTTCCAAAATAAGTTAAAAGGTCCTTATAACTTTACAAAATTTCAAATTGGTCCAAACAACTTTCCAAAGCATGTAGAATCATTCACACATCATTTCTAACCCATGTATATTTTTCCAAAATTTCTCCTTAACGTTTTCCTTTAGGCCGAATACCAAAGGTCAATTTGGCCTTGGTTCCCAACTTGACTCAAGCATGATTTCATCTTCTAAACCTCATTTCAAATCAACTATAACCAATTCCATACAAATTTCAATTCAAACATCCAAAATCAATGAAAAACCTAGCTTGGCCGAAAATTGTATAATCATTTCTAATGATTTCTAATCAACTTTCAAGCATGAAAATGAATCTACAACATCAAAATCCATCCTTAAATCATCATAATTCAACTTCTCCTTCATTCACCATATTCATGAACTAGGCATTCAAGCAAGGAAAACATGAACCAATTACACCAAATGATAAAGAATTTCATGTAGATTGATTCTCTATTGTATACTTTAATCCAAAACCTAAAGAATTTGCTTAAAAATGAAAAAGGAAAATTTTATTACCTTTGGGGGGAAAGCTCACGGCATGGAAATGGAGGAAGAAATTCTTGAAATTTCTAAAAAAAATCTAAGACACTTGTCATTTTAATCATTTAAAATGAATTAAAATTTCATTTAATTAAAATTTACCAATTTACCAATACTAAATCTTAATATTATCACCATGTCATTATCATGACATAATTACTTACATCATGTCAATATAAAATAATATTTTATAGCATCCATCTTTTTTTTCTTGCACTTTTCTAAAAATTTCAATCTAGTCACTTTATTATAACAGTCCCGATTTAATATGGAAAATCAACTTAAATACAACGATCCATATTAAATTCTACTTTAATAAAATATGAAAATAACATTAGTAACCTATACTATCATCCTTCAAAGTTTCCTATATTTTCGATTCGATTCGATATCCGAATATTTTACTGAACTTTATCATTTCATAACTTTTTATACAAACTCCTGATAAAAAATATGATTCCCACGAAAATGTCATTCATGGGTGAACTATTCATTTATTGGATAAAAATTATTTTAGGAAGATTACCACTTTGGTCCCTAAACTTCCCCAAGTTTGTACTTTAGCCACCAAACTTTTAAATTTTACATTTTGGTCACTTGCCAAAATTTGGGTATTACAAAAGCATTGATATTTTAATAAAATAAAATGTTTTATTAAAATTATCCGATTTAGGTGTTCAATCTCACCTTAAAAGTGATTGGTGGCGACTCTAATATTTTCAAAAACCTTTTAAAAAAACCATCATCAGACTGGCCCCCAAAAGGCCCATCATGATAGCTTGGCGACTCTATTGGGGACACTTGTAACACCTAAACCTGAATGGGCCTAAAGTATCACATTTGGCCATCGAGGTAACCCTTGGTTTTTAAAACCGGTTTATTTTCATTTCAAACAAGCTGAATGGTATCATAAAAGGCATAAATAACAATTATAAAACATTTTATAAACTGGAGATCCATGACACATAATTTAAAAACAAAATAATACAAACTTAGAGTTATAAATATGAATACATGAGTAAGGTTCTATGAATACATATGCCCACTAAAGCTATAATACAATACACTGAAGGAGATGTTGGAAGTCTTGTTATGACGGTGCTCCACGAACTGCAAGCTACTGACATGTCAACGGAAAACATCTGAAGACTGAGCTTACAAAGGCCATAATTATAATTGCTAATCTAGAGCAACATTAAGAGTCTCATAAACATAAGCATGCTAAAGACATGGTATTATGTAGTAGGTACATATATGATCTAGATCAAATGTTACCTAATTAAGGTTTAATTGTTCTATCACTAAAGTAGGATCTCATGCTTCCCTTAATCCTCTGTTAAGGCCTCGTCATAAGTACACCACTAAAGGGTCTCTAACCCTTATCACTGTAATTGCTACACATTATCTAAATACGACACTAACACCTCTATTCATTATCTGAATGCAACCATTACTCTACTGTACATTATCTAAATGCCACATTGACTAGTATCTAGTCTCACATAGCCATCAAACACTAGTTAATTGAGGGAACCCACTGTCATATAACATCGGTATATTTCCCACTAAGCTACTAAATGATCTCTTGGTCCTCACATAGGCATTAGATAAATCATTGAGAGGGAACCCAATCATCACACAACAATCGATAATTCCCGCTCTATTGAAGCATTGGCTCGATCTCACATAGCTGTCAAGCCAAGCTTTAAGGATAGCTGCTGTACTAGACTGATGTAACTATACATGCATATCTAAGGCCCAGAGGCCACACATTATTGACACCGTTAACCCATTCCTTATGAGTTTTTAGCCTCGCACCCTAGTTAACCCCTGAAGTACTTTGTGCGCTGACAATGCCCCACTAAGGCAGCCTAACTACACACTAGTGTAGCTAGACAAACTAAAGTGAGGTCATCCTCTCACTAGCTGCTATCTTGCTCGTTCTCTCATCTAGAACGTTATGTAAGGTTTTATTAGTCTGTTACTATTATTGGTTTATTAAACGACTATATTATGGTCATTAATTTCTTGAGGGCATTTTAGTCTTTATCTGTTTCTAAGAAAGTCTTTACGCGTTTCGTGATTTTGTGACGATTACTATGTTGTTTTTCACCGGCGTTCTCAAATCACATGATTTCTACTATTTTTGAATATGACTTACTTATCGTACAGCTTGTCGATACATTCTCTATAACGATCCTCGTCCTTAACTATTCGATACGTGCTCGATTAAAAAATACTTTGACGTATTACACGTAGTATAGCTATATAAATTATAACTCACTCTTACGAGTATTTTTAGGTATCTTTGTTCATTTTATATCCCATACAAACCAAGTTCTACCATTATAGATCATCCTTAGCGCTTACAGGCCAAAAAGGGTGATCTGGTAATTTCAGCCGCCCCTAATAGCATTTTAGTAACCTCCTAAACCCGAGATAGATGCCCGATAACAATTGATATTAAACTCCTCACTCTTGAGTCTATTTTACATATTGAAGTCACTCAACCACTCTAGTTATTGATATCAAGCTTCGGCATGGGTATCCAGTCTTCAGTATAAATACTAGCCATTCGCTATAGATACCAATACTACGGTATGGAGACCCGCGATATCGATACTAAGCTATCAATCTTAATACCAAACATTCAATATCGATACTACAATCCTAGTATCGATACCAAAGGGTTAACATTAATACTTCTCTCCTCAATATCGATACTCTCTACTAAGATTGCCCATATTTCATTCTGATTCATCTAATATCGATATTGTTCATCCAATATCGATAATTGAACCTAGAAATGTCTTATTTAAGCTTGGAAACGCCTAAAAATATTCCAAAGATCTTAGTTTACTTACTAATCTTGTGTTAAAGCTTTAGGATGTCATTTAAGGTCTTAAAAACAATTTTTTACATCTAAAACATCACTTAATTATGAAATCATGTATAAACCCTAAATTGCTTAAATACCAAAATTTTAACAAATCATCACACTTATGAAACTCTTAACACTCTAAAGGATTAGAAATACACTACCTTGATGATATGATTTTGAAATGAAGCTGTTGCTTAGCCACACTCACTTCCTTTAAGGTTTGGTTGATTTTCTACCTTTTTCTTTAGCCCACAATGATACAAGGATTTCATCAACAAAAAGGATTTTCTAGGAAGTATTAAAGATGGATTTTGAAGCCTAAGGAAGTAAGAAAGAAACCCCAATACTTACTTTGGGTTAGACACTTGCTATAGAGAAGGAAGATGAAGAAGGAAGGAAGAAAGGAAGAAAAGAATACCAAGTGGGAGAACCCCATGCCCAAACTTGATATAAAACCCCAAAAAGCAACTTGTTTTCCTTCGATGGTCTAATTGCACTTTTATTCCTTCACATTTTATCTCATATTTAAAATCCATCTTTTTATGGCTAAATTAGCCCAAATCCAACCTAATTAAGCCCAAACATAATGATTTTAATTATAAACTCTACGAGGTCCACATGCTCTTTGAGCAAACTTGAAACTACTAGCCTAGAATTTGGGGTGTTATAACTCTCCCCCTAAAAAGAAATTTTCCCTCAAAATTTAATTGGATTGAAAAGAAAATTACTTTGGTCATCTCGACATTGAATACTCAAAATGTTCCACATGGAAAACGCCACTCCATAACTCAACTATTATCGCTACATCCATCACTGGCAAACGTTACTCTATCGAGTTAACTTACTACATAATTATATAAATCTCTGATGCTAGCTGAACTCAGGTAACTCGGCAACTACTAGCTGAGGTCCTACGAACACTTTCCATACATGGCCTCGATATTGGATACTGAATATGTGATGAAAATTCTTGACTTCCCAACGTCGATCTCTATGCTTATGCTGTGCAAATCTGATTTAATATTTATCCATGCTACATGGATGTTTCTCATTTGCCTTATGGTTTACATACACACTACTCATATGATAGAGCATCTAAGGTGCTCAAATTGGAAATCGACTACTCACGAGCGAAACTAGAAACATTTGACTTTCTTGGAGAGTACACTTTATAAAGCAGAGGTTTATTGCAATCACATTCTGACTTAGGGATTCTGAGACTCTACATCTTGCGCTCGCTATCACTTTCCACCACTAAGCTATTCGGTGATGACTAATGCTAGTCAAACGATGCTTAATGTACGTGATTTCCTTTAATCTTGGGCATTAAAATCCACGGAACTACTATGTGTTGTATATAACTCGTGCTTATATACTACTATAGTAGTAAGTGAATTAGCTAAGTGAGTCGGGCCTCATCAAAGATGTCTTCGTATTAGTATATGAGCGCGAGCTATATACAACACATAGCAGTATGCAGTGTTGCGTAGTACCTTGGATTTTAGTTCCTAAGATTAAAGAAAATCACGTACATTAAGCATCGTTTGACTAGAGTTATTCTTCACCGAATAGTTCAGTGGTGGAAAATGATAACGAGTGTAAGATATAGAGTCTCAAAATCCCTAAGTCAAAATGCAGTCGCGAAGGACCTCCTCTTTATAATGTTGCTCTCTAGGAAAGTCAAATGTTGCTAGTTTCACTCGACGAGTGGACGATTTCCAATTGTGACCACCTTAGATGCTCGACTAGGTGAGTAGCGCGTATGTAAACCTCAATGCAAATAAAAAATAATCAGATAGCGTGGATAAGTATTGAATCAGAGTAGTGCAGTAGAAGCGTAAAGATCAACAATGGGAAGTTGAGAATTGTCATCATATCTTCAGTAGCCAATATCGAGGCTGTGTATGAAAATTGTTCATAGGACCTTAACTAGTAGTTGTCGAGTTACCTGAGTTCAGTGAGCATTAGAGATTTATAGAATTATACAGTAAGTTAACTTGATTGTGTAATGTTAGACAATGATGGATTTAGCGATAATAGTTGAGTTGTGGAGTGAAGTTTTCCTTGCGGAATGTTTTGAGTATTTAATGTCAGGATGATCAGAGTAAGTTGCTTTTCAATCCAAATAAATTTTGAGGGGGATTTTTTTAGGAGGGGAGAGTTGTAACACCCTAAATTATGGGCTAGTAGTTTTGGGTTTACCCAAGAGGGTATGTAGACCTCATAGAGTTTATAATTAAAGTCTTTGGGGCGTGTTTGGGCTTAATTGGGTTTGATTTGGGCTAATTTAGCCATAAAAGAAGGATTTTAAATATGAGACAAAATTTGAAGGACTAAAAGTGCAATTAAATTGTCGAAGGAAAATAAGATGATTTTTGGGGTTTTATATCATGTTTGGGCATGAGGTTCTCCCACTTGGTCTTTATTTCTTCTTTTCTTCTTCATATTCCTTATCCATAGCAAGTGCCTAACCCAAGGTAAGTGTTGGGGTTTCTTCCTTACTTACTTAGGCATCAAAATCCATCTGTAATACTTCCTACAATATCCTTTTTGTTGATAAAATCCTTGCATCTTTATGGGCTAGAGAAAAAGGTAAAAAATTAACCAAATCTTAAAGGAAGTGAGTGTGGCTAAACAAGGAGCTTTATTTCAGGATCCTAACATCAAGGTAGTGTATTTTTAATCCTTTGGAGTGTTAAAACTTTCATAAGTATGATGATTTGTTAAGTTTTTGGTATTTGAGAATTTTAGGGTTTATACATGATTTCATGATTAAATGACATTTTAAATGTAAAGAATGTGTTTTTATGACACTTTAAGACCCTAAGTAACTTCCTAAAGCTTTAACACATGATTAGGAAGCAAACTATGACCTTTAAGACAATTTTTAGGTGTTTTTCGAGCTTAAATAAGACATTTCTAGGTTTGAGTATCAATACTGGATTAACAATATCAATACTGGATGAATTGGAATAAAATATGGGTAATTTTAGTAGGGAGTATCGATACTGAGGAGAGTAGTATCGATACTGACCCATTTGTATTGATACTAGGATTGAAATATCGAGATTGGGTGCTCGTATCGATACCGTGTGTCTCCATACTATATAAAATGGTCTTTGTACTAGATAAACTAATATCCATAACGGATAAATTGGTCTCCATATCAGAGTTATGGTATTCATACCAGAGGACTGTATCCATACCAGAGGACTGGTATCCATACCAGAGGACTGGTATCCATACCAGAGGACTGGAATCCATACCAAAGGCTTAATATTAATACCCAAAGGGGTTGAGTGACTCCAAGATGTCAAATAAACTCAAGAGTGAGGAGTTTAATATCGATTGAGAGGGCATCTAACTCGGGTGCAAGAGGTTACTAAAAATGCCATTAGGAGCTAAAATTACCAAATTATCCTTTTTATGCCTAAATTGGCCCAAATCCTACCCAATTAAGCCCAAACATGGCCCAACATTAATTATAAACTCTATGAGGTCCACATGCACTCTCGGACAAACCCAAAACTATTAGCCCAAAATTTAGGGTGTTACAACACTTTTATTTAAAAAAAAAGAGTCACGCCATGAGTCTATTATTCTATATTTTAAATTTGGAAATTTTGAGTTTGAGTTTATTTAATTTATGGTTCATTGTGTTCTTTTTAAAAGCTGAAAATTTTTCTCTGATCACAATTTTTTTCTTATTTGAGTATACTTAGAATTGTTGCATATTATAAGCTAAACCCATGCTTTTTCCCGTGTAACCTAAGTAGGGGAATCGTCACATCATCAAAGAATACTATTTTTCTTCGTGTAGGTTTGACATAATACTTCTGGAAAGCTTTCTTTATGTCTTCAAGGATACTATTTTCCTTTATAGGCATTGAGTGGTGTGATCCCTTAAACTGAGTTTTTGATTCACAAAATCTATAGTGGGCCAGGATCGAAGTCCTTAATTATCTTAACAGGTTATAGGGACAGTTTGGGTACCTTTTTAGAACTGAACCATCTTGTAGAGAATTATTAACCTACCCCACTAAAGCCATGTGGAAATCCTAAGAGAACTAGAATGCATGTTATTAAGGCTTTTAATAGCTCTTTGTTTGTGTTTTATTCACATTATTTATTTACAAATTGTATTTGATATTTTAATTTTATTAATTTTAAATTTCTCATTCTTATTATTTTAATCTTAAATCCTTATTTTTTCTTCTTTCTTTTGTCTAC